GTACATAGACAAACAGGGGAAAACAAAAGCCCCTCAAAATTCTTCCTTACACGTTACAGACCACCCGGTCCTTAGATATAGGAGTACTTCACTGATAGAAGCTTCACCCTTAAATATCCCATATGGTGAGTTTAAAAACTTATTCCCCCTCCATAATCTTAAAGGGGGGGGGGAGGAGGGCAAACCAAGACGAAGGGGGAAGGAGAAGAGAAAGAGAGGGAACCAACACCAATGCACACAACATAAAAAAATAAATACATAGTGTAGGAACAAAAGGGAGTGGCAAATAAAATGGCATAATAAAATGTCAATAAAAAACCCAGAACAAGCTAGTAACTAAAGTAACCAGAATAAATATCTGGAAAGAAAAATGGAATATGCATAAGAGCTGATAGAAGATCCAAGTAATATGATGGAAGTCAGTAGGACATACAAAGTCTAATATCAAAGAAGTCAGTGACGAATCACACATGATATCCCTTTAATAATATATGCCATATAGGCGTTTGGTATGAAGTTGGACTATCTAAAAAGCTTCCCTTTTCTTAGGATATACTTTATGTCTCCTCCTCTCTCAGGTGTAAAGCATCTTTGGATACCCTGAAAAGGAAAAATAAGAATCAATAAGAAAGCTCCTATGCAAAACATTAAATTATAGCTGGCCAGTAGCCAGTGTTGGGTAGTTCAGTGTTGGGTAATTCCTATACTAGGGAGAGTAGGGAGATAGCCAGTAGCCAAGGTAAGGTGCCCCCCATGCCCCAAGCTTGTATGAAGGCCCGCATCTCGTATCCACAGACTCAGCACGCACATTAAAGACCAGGGCCATCTGTGTAGGGAAACAGCCGAAGCTCCTGATGGACTGTCGCCGCCTGTGGATCTTCGGCCTCTGTGGGCGATGCATCAGGAAGTTATCCCTGCTGGCCCTCAGCTTAGGTAGGCTACAGGTAAGCGATTCAGAAGCTTGTGGGGGGAGTGTGACACATTTTTATGGTCTCTAAGTATCATGAACCCTCTAGGAGTTCCTTTCTGTCTGTATCAATTTCCTTGAAAAGAACCCACAATGATGTAGAGTAGACTCAGGATAGGACCTTTGAGAAATTACTGCCCCCACACCAATTTTATATACACCCACTTCTAAAACAAAGGGTTTACGTAGATCGTTTGCAAAAAAGACCGTTCTCAATGAGATTTCAAAGAACAGGACGTACGTGAATGTGGTGTATTTAAAGATCATGTGAGTGTATGAGCATGTCATTGAGATTAACAATAACAAAACTGGTAAGGTACTCTCTTAAGACATCGTTGAGAAGATATTGGAACACAGCAGGTGCATTACATAACCCGAATGGCATGACAAGGTACTCAGTGACTGCTGTGGGTATTAAATGCAGTTTTCCACTAATCACCCTCCTTGATCCTAACCAAATTATAGGCACCTGTTATATCAAGTTTAGTAAACCATGTAGACTGTCAAAGAGTTTGGTGATGATTGGAATGCATATACATTTTAACAATGGTTTTGTTCAAACCTTTGGTAGTCTATGCAGGGTCTTAGATAACCTTTTTTGGATAAAAAGAAAAATCCTGCATTTGCAAGTGAAGAAGACAGTCTAATGAATCCCTTTTGGATGGATGGATGGGTAGATAGATAGAGGATAAATCCTATCTCTAGGAGGCATAGTACTAGGAACTAAGTTTATGGCACAATCATGAGGTCATCATTAGTTGAAAGATGGTCTGCTTCACCCTTATCAAAAACTTTTTTCAAATCACAGCACTGAGAAGGTGTATTATCCATAATAATACACAATACTTTGGTACTCAATATGGCCTTTATCAGTATAATCACATTTAGATTGCAAATTTCTGTATAACTGGAGCATAAAATTTAATCTAGTGCTAACCTACTTGAGATCAAAATGTATTAAAACAGTGCGATAACATCTTTATGAGACATTAATGCTTCCCCCTATATGGGGAGTACCAATCTCCACTTGTCTCAAATGTCCCATGCCGCTATCCCACATTGGTTAGATGGATATATACTTATAAAGCAGCGCTCATAAACCCTCTGCTCCTCCATCTCAGAATGTATTTTCTGAATTGTGGGAATGCTTGAAGTCTTCCAGGCTTGTGCAATAAGGTGTTGAGCCGTCAGTGCCATATGGAAGATAAATTTTTGGAGATATTTGGGCGTATGTGGTGGGATATGCAATAACAAGTACAGAAGGGGATTATACGATAGTTTAACTTTTGTGAGATCTTGTAACAATGTATGTACGGCTTCCCAAAAGGGTTGGATTAATGGGCAGTTCCACCATATATGTATAACTGATCCAATATTCTTTTGACATCTCCAACAAGTGGGTGAGGTGGAGGGTATAGAATATTGCATATTCTGTTTCTATTGATTATATATGGATGTGTGGATTGACATAAGTAACAGATGGTATAAGTCACAAGGCTTTCTTTGTCTGAGAGTTCAGGAATGTGGATTTGGGGGTTTTGTCCTTATATGGCTCGAGTTATAGTCTGATGTCATTATGGCACTTCTATATAGTAACTGAACAGAGGTACACGAGGCCGCGCTCTCTCTTGGCTCTTGGCTCTCTCTTGGCTCTCTCTCGATGTAAAGATGTAAGGAAGTAACTCTCCCTTCAGAAGACCAGCAATTACCATCTGCTGTTGAATGTCCATTATCCTGTAACATCCTTTGTTGTTTTATTATGTATCCGTAACTAAGAATAAACCTGAAGAAACCGTAAGTCAAATTGCGTATTAGTACTTTTCATTAATATAGACATATATTAATGTTGCGAGCATTATATTTGGCCCAAGAAGAAATATATATATATATATATATATATATATATTAAAGACTTATTCAACTAAATAAACACACAGCCAGTTATTACAGAGGGAAACATTTTATGTAACCGCTCTGGCACCATGTGACATCTTAATAGCTGCTATTCTTTCGGTCCAGGTAAGAAAAAGGGATCTCCATTTTATCAGTTTGCTTACACTCCTTCCATACCCTAATATAGTTACCTGCACTCAGATCAGTAAGTCTTCCAGCAAATATTATCCCTAGGTATTTGATGTTATCACGTCTCCATTCAAAGGGATATGTCTTATGTAATATATCTATAGCTTGAGAGGGTAAATCTAATCCGAAGGCCCGCGTTTTAATAATGTTTAATAAGTAATAAGAACAGAGGCCATATTCCATTATTATCTGCATAAGTGTAGGAAGGGTATTAATGGGGTCGGTGATATAGAGTAGAATATCATCCGCGAAGGCACTAATTTTGTATTCTATTCCTTTAACTTGAATATCTTTTATATGGGGTTGATTTTGGATGATTCGCAAAAGGGGCTCTAGTGCCAGCACATACAGTAATGGGGACAACGGGCACCCCTGCCTCGTTCCATTAGTTAACTTAAATGGATCGGACATTAAGCCCGCCTGTAACACTTGGGCTGAAGGGCCTGAGTATAAAGCAAAAATCTGTTTCAATAGTTGTTGTGGGAGCCCATATGCACACAACGTCTGTTGCAGGAAGGGCCAGCTGAGGCGGTTTAAAGCTTTTTCAGCATCTAATGCTAGTAAAAGTCCGCCTCCTCTGGCCCCCCTTAAGTGCTCCAATATCAATGCAAGTTTTCTAGTATTATCCATCCTCAGTATAAACCTTGTCTGCTCATCTCATCTGATTTTCTTTAGACCATCATTTCCCATTTCATAGGGTATCTTAGAGCTAGAGTATTTATTACGAAGTCTAGAAGCTAAATATTTGTTGGCTTTCCCGCCACTATGGTATACATTAGCTCTGAGTTTGTATAGCATGCGCTTAGTTTCTTCCCCATTGAGCTCCTTAAGTCGTGTGTAAAGCACAGTAAGCTGTTCCGCTAATTGAGGGGAAGGTTGAATTTTATTTTGTTTAGAAATTCTAGCTATTTGTCTATGGCATTCAAGTAGACCTGACATATTTTGTTTCTTTAGGAAAGAAGAACGTTTCAAAAAAAGTCCTCTTACTACCGCTTTGTGCGGCGACCATATTGTGTCTCTTCATCTTCCTCCTGTGTTTGCCTTTGCTTCTCTTTTTTAGCATACCGTGCTGAGTCTGTTAGTTTGGTTTGCTTAGAAGGATATGTGATAATGAAGGGTGGTAAACTGTGGAGAGTGGTAATAAACAGTGGAGTATAGCATTGTTTAGTATACAATAGACTGTATGCTAACCCTTTCTTTCTTTCCTTCCCTCCCCTTTTTTTTTCCTTATTTTTTTTATTTATCTCTTTTTTTCTCCTCTATGTCTCAAACTATGAGACCTCTAACTCTCCAAATTGTTTTAGTCTTTAAATCTTTAAGTTTTAAAGTCTTTGTCTACACCCGTTGCGTTGTGATGAATGTGAGTGTAACCGACTCTTATAGAGAGTTGTAACTGGTTTGTAAGGTAATTATTCAAAGAATAGTTAGTCCGTCTTATAGTGAATACTGTTTATGAGTGAAATGCTTATTCTTGATTGAAAAAAAAAAGGCAACAGACCTGATCACTCAGGTTACAGCTGCTAAAATGTTTGTCGCTTAATCCTCTTATTGTCTGTGAGTCAAGCTTAAGGAAACACAGAGTATGCTGTTTCTTTAAACAGGAGATTTATTACAACTCCCTTTTACTTTTTTTTTTACATTTTATTTATTTTATTATTTTTTTATTTATTTTTTTACTTATGTTGCATACTTTTCATATATATATATATATATATATATATATATATACATACTTTTATATGTCTCCTCTTGTGGAGCAGTCCCTTTTATTTAAAGGACCACTATAGTGCCAGGAAAACATACTCGTCCGCCCGGCTCTGGAAAGGGGAAAAGGGGTTAAACTTACCTTTTTCCAGCGCTGGGCGGAGAGCTCTCCTCCTCCGATCCTCCTTCTCTCCTCCCCGTTGGCTGAATGCGCACGCCCGGCAAGAGCTACGCGCGCATTCAGCCGGTCACATAGGAAAGCATTCATAATGCTTTCCTATGGACGCTGGTGTGCTCTCACTGTGAAAATCACAGTGAGAAGCATGCAAGCGCCTCTAGTGGCTGTCAATGAGACAGCCACTAGAGGATTAGGGGGAAGGCTTAACCCATTAATAAACATAGCAGTTTCTCTGAAACTGCTATGTTTATGAAAAAATGGGTTAACTCTAGCTGGACCTGGCACCCAGACCACTTCTTTAAGCTGAAGTGGTCTGGGTGCCTAGAGTGGTCCTTTAAGGTACAAGTGGTTCAGAGTGGAGCATATCAATTATTTCGATTTATATATTCACCATGCTGTTTCAGTACAGAAATGTAATATAAATTATACTTATCGCTCCGTTGCTTAACCTTATATTTCTTATCCGGTAGCGGACCTATTTTGGTCGTGCTACTTCTTGCTGGTCCTTAGCAGCGCTTAACAGTGTTTCTCCTCTCCACTTCACTCCTCAAGTCCTCAACTCCTCTCTCAGCGTTTTTCTTCTTTTCTTTGATCTGAGGGTAAGATTTTATTTCCACTTGATCTATCTGCACACTTCTGGAATCGATCCAAGCAGCTACTGGAGTTGCTGCCACCGCTCTCTCCACCACACTCTCTATATTTTCTCTACATATTCTGTATATTTTTAGGCTTTCCGGCTCAGGCCTTTCAAGCTTTCATGCTCCAAACACGCTACACAAGGTAATCCAATTCTTAGCGCTCATAGTATCGCTCTCCTCTTCTTTCCGTCTCCGTTTCTGTCTCTGTGTCAGCCACTCCGTCCGTGCGTACAACGTTGCATGTGCTCACGTCATCACGTTCACGTTCCACCTTAAATGGAGCTCAGGGAGGGTTTTTTCTTACGGGCTCAGACGCCTGTGTACCGGAATCTGCCCGGACTAAAGGCGCCTTGTGTCTAAGTCACCTAGGAGGGTGCAGGATGCAAAGCCAGCCAGAACCCCAGACTGTAGGGGTTGACCAAAGACACGTGCTGTTGCAGGCAAGGCACTAACAGACTATATGTCCACTCCAGGAAGCCGTCAACTGACTCGTATGGATCATGCTATGGCTATCGGAAGTGGTCAAGGGGGAGATGTGTGATTGAACGCTGTCACAGCGTGCCATGCCTGTCTAAAACAGTGTCTCCAAAAGACTATAATTATCCCTGTTATACCCCTTTGTTCCAGCCCCCTTGCTTACCCACCAGGGAGCCCTGACCGACTTTCTGGAGCTATGGGTCGGCTTCACAGCGGCAGAGTCCCGCTGGCCGCCTGGAAATCCATGCCAGCCAATAGAAGAAAGGGTACTATTCAAACTGGTTTTGCGCCCTTTGTCCCGATTGGCTGGCGAAACACCTCCCCTCCCTGAGCGCCGTTTGTTGCACATTGCTTCGCACCCTTTTTCCTGATTGGCCTCTGCGTGGTTTAGGTGGGACATTTGAATCACTGGCCAAAACCAAGTTTCTGGTTCTGATTCTGTGGAGCTATTTTCAGGTATGTACAGAGCCTCAAGCCCAGACTTTGTAAGACGATTTCTCGGACTCTGTACATCCGATAGCTTTTCAATTTGCAAGGAACATAGCTGGGACCAGGATCTATTTGGGGATGTATGGCATGTGTAAATGCGTTACTTTATGGTGTGTATTTTTGGGGGTTTGGTGTGTTCGGCTTCCTGTGTCCGGAGATACCTTTATCTCCAGACACAGCGTCGCTGGGGTGGGCTTATGTTTTGTATTGCTGTAAATGGAGACCCCCGTTCGGGGGGAAAAGATACAAGGACAACCAGGGAGTATATATCCTATACTGGGTTGCAATTGGTTACAGAAGGCCATGATGTCACAAGTGTGTATACATCAAAAATTGACACATAGGCAGACACTATAAAATGAGACCAATGGGAGGGTTCCAAGACATTTTTGATGTCCTAGGGGAATTATCCAAGGACACCACTGGGACGTTTGCATACCTTCTCGAACTCAGGTAAATGGACAGAGCTAGCATCCATGCAGCGTGCTCATCCAAAGAGGAGCATGTCAGAGGGATTGGCTTTCTCTACTATTTTTTTTTTTTTTTTATAAAAGCGCCAACAAATTTCATAGCGGTGTACAGACATGTAATTGGAACCAGACAAGATGGATGAACAGGAACAGAGAGGTTGAGGGCCCAGTTCAGCGAGCGTGCATGTTAGAGGGAGTGGGGTATAGGGACACAAAGGGTAAGGGACGGGATAGAAAAGTAGTGTGACAAACTGCCATTTGCCACTGGGCATTGGAGAGGACTGATTGCCAGCCTCCTGCCACATGACAATGGCCCTGGGATATATGGCATTTGAAAACACACTTTGTGCCCTGTGACAAAACTGGAGATTGTGCACAAATATGACTATTGTCCATATGTTTTATGATTCCCTCCGTTTGTTGCACTGTTCCCCATGTGTTTCATCTGTTGGTTCGGCTAGATAGACTACCAGACAAACTGTGGAGTTACTGGGTGGCCACCATTTCATGTATCAGAGGCACATGGTGAGAACAATGGATGGCGGCCATTTTAACTCACACTGTTTTGACTTTTCTACACGGTGCCATCTCGCTGGTATTTGGTGCACAAAGACATCGTTCAGTAGTTTTAAACTACAGAACAGGGGACACATTTCACAAGAATTATTTTTCATATAGCCTGTATATGTTCTGCGGAATCTGCATTAAACCGTATCTTCCAAACTACTTAACGGATCTGGGTGAATTTTGGATATGTGGTTCACCCAGATCCCCCGGTTCCAAGGATATATTTTTATGGGGTTATTGCATGTTTTGGGGTGCCTGTGATATGTTTTTATAATACTGTATTTTCCTGCCTGTGATAATTCTATTGTGTTGAGATAATTGTAACACAGGCAGAGGGGAGGATTTCTGATGTAATGAATGGGAGTGTCAGCTGTGTTGTAATGTCTTGATTAGTTGTTCTTCAAAACCCTGTGGGCAGTACTATGTTTGTAGAATGTGAATAAAAGAGGCTGTATGTGCCAGTACAGACAGATCATAACCCTCAGTAGTCTTGTATCGTGATTGGAGGGAACTGCTTTATCACACCGGGGATTGCTATGCTCTGCATACTCCCCTGAGCTCTAACCACTTAGCTCATTTTAGGTTCTCAAAGCTGTTTATTAGCTGCAACAATCTGATACAGTATAGCGGACGCGCAGGTCCCGGCAAAATTTGAATGATCAACATTTAAACAGTTGTATGTTATTATACAGAAATGTAGAGTAAATATGTATAACAAGCTATGTTAGTTAGGAGGATGCTCAGGTTGCGGTTATAAATTGTCATACTTTATAGGCTGTATGCTGAATTCGGCGTATTTGAGGTGTTCATAGTACCTTTTTTGAAGCATTGGACTGTGCTTCGTGGAGGTTATGCAGATTAGTAAAGGTCGTGGGTGTTCGTGTAATCGAGTGTGCTCGGGTGAGCTGTCTTGTTGGTCGAATGTGTCCGATTGTGTCCAGTGGAGTTATTAGGAGTTGTCTCCGTCCTAGCTTATTGGGTAATATGTGCATGTCTGATACCTTTGGGGCGGTCCGCCATTAAGGTCAGTATGTCCACGGAGATCATCTTATGTCACTGGGGTGGCTGTCCCCATACTGTTCCTTAAGTAAGGTGATGTCTTTGCTGAGTCAGCATTGTGATTACATTTACTATCCCCTTATCGCCTGCAGGTCTCATCCCCAATGAGATGATGAAGGTTATCGGGCCCACTTTGGGGGTCATTAGCTGTTTGTGTGTTTTCCCTGTTTATGTTTCGTGATGTTGTGGTTGAAGTGTTCGCCCCTAGACAAATGTTTGAGCGTGAATATGTAGTATATCTGTTGGTAACCTCGAGTTGAGTTGGTCTGCATCAGTTATTCAGTCAGCTTATGTATCATTGTTGGAGAACTTAGATGAAAAAGAGATAAGGAAAGGAAAAGTAAAGAAGGGGGATAGAGGAAGATGCTGAAGAAGGGGTGGGTGTAGTGGGTTAGGGGGATCCCATTGCCTAAGCCTGTGGTTACCGTGAGTGTTGTATCGGGTCTCATTCTCCATCCGAGAGGGAGCACGGTGTTCCTTGGGTCCGCTGGGGTTCATTCCTGTCCGTGTTTCAGTCTGCTATATATAGCAGCCATGGGCGCCATCGCTCCACATGTTTGTCCTCAAGACCTATTAGGGCAGCCTGTGTTGATTCTGCACTATATATATCTCTTCCACCTGCTCCATCCATTGTCTGTTTCCAGTATAGTGGAATTAGTGCTTTGGCAGCGTTCAACAGGTGTCTACAAATGTTTTTACGATATGCCCCTATGGTGTCTGGTGTGGAGTGCATGAGACCTGCCCCTGCGTCAAGTCTTTCGTCAGTCCCTAAGATGTCCTCTATTTTCTGTTTAACTCCTTCCCAAAATGGCGCAATGAGAGGGCATTCCCACCATATGTGTAGTGGCATACCTCGCTCTTCTCCACATCTCCAGCATGTGTCAGGTACATTTGGGAAGATCCTGTGTAGGCTATCAGGTGTCCTGTACCAAAATGAGAGAAGTTTGTAGTTTATTTCTTGGTATTGGGAACTCGACGAGCATTTATGGTGCAGTGTGAGGACCTTATCCCATTGGGCCGTGGTGAAGGATGTGCCCAGCATGTGTTCCCAGCGTCTGCGGAATTGGTCGTTGTTGGTGAGGTGTCCCACTAGCATGTGTTGGTATAGACTGGATACCGTCCTATCTAGGGTAGTCTTGTGATCTCATAGTGATTCGAACCACGATAAGTCCCTATGTATGGCTTCCTTGTTTGGGAGTGTCTGGTAGTAGGACCTGAGCTGCATATAACGAAGGGCTTGTAGGCTAGTGGGGTGGTTGCCCTCCAGCTGTTCCCTGAAGGGGGCCATGCCAGTGTTTAGTAGCCTATGGATGGGGAATGATTCCCCCTCTCCCAGGAAAGTCCACGATGTCAGGGGTAGTCCTCCTCCTATCTGAGGGTTATGTTGTATTTGAATCATCGGGCTCGGTGTTTGAGATATATGTGGGGCTCTTCTGATAGTATCCCATGCTTTCAGTGTCTGCGCTACGGTAGATGTTGGTTCAAGTATCACCCGTGGTAATCTCTTTGAATTCCATACCGACGTCAGAAAGGAGGGGCCAATATGGCTTTTATCTAGGTCGATCCATTGTTTGTGAGCTGGTTGAGTATGCCACTCCAGTACCCGTTGTAGCTTAGCACTTTTTAGAGCTTGTTCCTGATACGCTTTCCTGGAGAAGAGGTCTTCACCACACGGACCTGGAGGACAGAAGCTGATCCAGGGTGGAAGGAAGACGGCAAGACTCCAGTTAAGCTACAGTGGTTGTGGAGTCTGCGGTGATTGTGGTGTCCGGTACGGTGCTTGTGGTCCTCGGTGCAAGCTAGGAAGCGTCCATAAACAGAGGTACCCAGTCGGGGTGCCAGGTGCTCCGTTACAAGAAGGCTAATGGAAAAGTATTCAAGGAGGGCTTAATGGGTTATTTTTGACAGTTGCAGAGAGGAATTAGGATGCAGGGAAGAAGCGTTGGTTAATTGATACACAAGGAAAGAAGACTAGGTGAAAGTCTAACGGAGGAGGAAATGGAGTTCCTCAGGAACAGTTCAGCTCTGGAGAAGTCTTGAAGGCGAGCATCAGAAGTGGAAGCAGGGGCGATCATAGGGTCACTGACGCCTGGGTGCAATATTATTTTTGGAGCTCCAGCTGGGCATGGCTATATACTAACCACTCCAACACTTTGGGCCCCCAACTTCATTAGGTTGCATGTCACCCACTTCCTACAGTGCCATCTTTATGCCCAGCTTACCATTGCCATCTCTGTCTCCATATACCTACCCAGAGCAATCTGTGTCCAAAAATAGCAGATCAGTTGCATCTTTGTCTCAACATAACTAATCAGCCCCTAAACTTAACCGAGCCAGGGGCAATTCCAGAACAAATATCTGAGGAGGGACTGCAGTGGGGCAGAGAATATAGGCCACTATTAAGACCCCGTTTTAATAGTGGCATATATTCTCTGCTAGTGGCCATAGTCACAATATGATCTATTTAACAAACTTCTAGTGACTATCTAGTGACCAGATGATACACTATACAAATTAGCCCCCTGCTAACATATGAGCAACCTATCCTGTTGGTTGATGTTTTGAGGTTTCTTTCTGACTCATATCAACTATACTTAGATGGAGGTTTGCAATCTTAACACTACCGTAGCATTTCCCAATTAGGGTTCCGCGAGAACAAAATTGGGGTTCTGTAGCAATTTGCCCATCGGGTGGACCAAGCATTTAGGGCCAGCCGATGGTTATCACTAAACAGGGGTCCGGTTAGGCACAGCGGGCGTCTAAGACCGCGACTGGACCACTGTTGTGTGGGATGCTGGGAGGAAGTGACAGCACTTCCTCCCAGACAGAGAGCGGGAAATGAGTAGCTGCCGACCTGGCACACCATGTTCAGCCAGCAGCACTGAAGGAATAAAAAAAAGATACGTTAAACATATGTGTATGTGTCTGTGTGTAGCTGTGTCAGTATGTGTATCTGCCAATGTGTGTGAATCTGTGTGTAAAGGTGTGTCAGTGTATGTTCTACTGTGTGTATCTGTGTGCCAGATAAATACATGCACACACGGAGATACACCCACTGACACATACAAAAACACAGACACACAGTGTGTTGAGGAGTGTATCTGTGTGCTACTGTGTATGTATCTGTGTGACAAATACAAATACACACACACACACAGGCAAATACAAACAAACACACCAGCACATACAAAAAACAAAAAAGGTTTATGCAACCGAACAAAATTGATTTGTTTGGTGGGGGTTTGATGATGTTGATACACTACACAAAGGGAAAAATTAATTGGGATCCCCTGCTCAATAGTTCTACACAGATAAATACAAGTAGATCGATTTTAAATAACCTTGTTTTCAAACATAGTTTGTTTCAAACTGAAAGGTTACAATCACCTTGTTCTCACATATAGTTTGTTTCAAATTTATATGCTATAATTATTCATACCGTTTAGGAGTCACAAGAACCTCTAATTACCTGCCTTTTCTCTGGTAGATCTAAATTCCTCTTTTTAAAACCATTTTCACATTATTTTTGTTTTCTTCGTGTTTTCAAAATAAAATTTAGTCTTAACTGTGATATATATTTACGCCTTACACGTTTTTTTCAAACATAAATTAAAGACAGACTCTTTTCTGGTACTACCAAAACACATGTTATAACATATTTAGTAGTGGTTATTGTTTTGAGACTATGTCCCCCCAGTCTCCCTTATAAAGCCTTGCCCTGCCCTGCAATTAGACTCAAAGAACTCTGATTGGTGGGTTTAAGCCATCCAATCAGAGTGCTCTGACAGGTAAATGAAGAGACTGACACGTAAGTCTCTACATTTACCTGTCACAGCACTCTGATTGGTTGGTTTGAAATCCACCAGAGTGCTCTGTCATTTTACACAGCGTGGGAAAGTTCTTTGGAATTTTCCCACGCTGTGTAATTTGACTCATAACTCTCTGTTTGGTGGATTAAGTAAACAATCAATCAGAGTGTTATGAGTCAAATTACACAGCGTGGGAAGGGGGGCCCTTTTGAATTTTTTTTAAACAGTGAGCAGCCACTGGCTGCTCACTGTTTAATAGACATGCGCCTACTCGCAGTACAGCGAGTAGGGGCACAATTTACGAATACAAAGTAATTTTAGGCCTTTCAGCCTTTTGGTAGATAACTCCCTAATACCGTGGGAATTAGGGAGTTATCTACCAAGCGGCTGCAAGAGTTGTTCCGAAATCCCGAATTGCTGAGGTCCCGAACCGAACAATTTTCCGCTGTTTATTTCTGCTAATGGACAAGTTACCAGGAAGCGATTTATACGGACTCTAAATATAGTTGTACAGCACTGTCATATCCCGTGTGCGTACTTTTTTTATTTCTAAAGAAATCAAATGGTTTTTCTAGACCTTTTTTCATTACTAATGTCTTCCACCCTCTTTATTAATGTTGTAGCTTGCCTCTGCACCCTCACTCATTCTGCAATTTCCCTCTTTAAAATTGTTGCTCCAAAATTGCACTGCACATTCAAGATGATGTCTTCCCATGGATTTATGAAGGGGCAAAATTATATTTGGACCACGACAATCAATAGCCTTTTTTATGCATGACAACAGCTATGCCAGGGACCTGCACATGCCATGACAACTTATGGTGACAGACTCTTCCTTTAAGGAATTACTCATTCAGGATTAATTCTAGGGAAGGGCGGACAAACATGCCACTGAACCCACCTAAAAGACCACAACTTTAGGACCCTCTAAGTCCCACCCTACAATACATAGCCACAACATGGCACTTAGTTCCTGTGACCACAATATCAATGCAAGCTACGTCCATCACCAGTCTCCCGTATCCTCACCCAGGACTCTTGATACCCTAGAGGATGCTGAACCAGATGAACCTCCCCCGCACACTACCTGTGGGCACTCACATTTAATTAACATTAAACTGACATATACATTGTCTGTTTAGCAAGCACGCCAGGCCAGTTGCCATGCATTTTTTCCATTTTACCCTGCTAAACATAACCTGCCCCAACATTCACATCCAAAAGTCTCTTTCCACACTCAGGGCAGGACAATCTTGCCTCCTGTAGGTCCACCCAAGTTTATATATTGTCACTTGATGTTACATCATATAAATATTGTGACTTCCAGCATATAATGGGTGTTTAGCATATCAACCGTTTTAACAGGCTAAAAGGTCAAGAAAGCGGGGATCCGCAATAAATAATGATAATGATCTAGCTTCACCTCGAGCAGCAAAGTTCCTAGCTAATTTGTCCGGGTTCGGGGCTTCGCATTTTAACTATATGTTTAACTACGGAACTAACCTACATGACCTCACGTAACTTCGCTGCAAAGGCTTTGTTTTATACTTACTGATTTGTTTCCTGTTTGCTAGCCTAGTACAGTTCTTGATAACCCTCATACAAAAATGTGCATCAGTTTACTATGCCACAACTGTCATACGGTTATACAATTTCAATGCATGTTACTGCTGTTGGGGTATGACGTGAATGCTTGTTCAATTAATCCATGTACAGAAAAATAAAGAATTATAAAAAAAATAAATAAAAAAAACATAGCTGAGAGGGCAACCAACCAACCCCACCTAAAATACAACACAGTAAATACAAAGTTTGAACTAAATTATTTATTTCCAAAACACATTAAATACAATGAAGCAGAAGACATCAATAACATAAAAATGTTTTAAACTAATGCTTAGAATTTTGCATTGGAAACGGCAGCAAGTTATTTACTGGGATATGGAATGGTCTAAAGTGTATAAATTTATATTAAAATCCCCTAGAGGAAATAGTTGTTACTACACTACTCAAACATAAATTAGGTACACATATTTTTTAGTTTAAGGATTTTATTTTTGGATGTTTGTTGAAGCGTCTTCACGGTGCTGAAACCAATCGTCTCCGTATCCGTGACTTAGTAGCTTGCCAAAGTTAACAGCCTTAGCCATATCATGCCCTTGCATAGGTGGAAAAACACACTTCTTCCCAAGTTTTCCCTCTTTGTGATTCATTGAAGGATCTCTGCTAGAAGTGGTAATGCTATTATCATCAAATCTTGGGTTGACCGATGGCAATTTTACATTCTTTTCATCGCTGTTAATATGGGTTTCCTGGTCAAAATCAAAAGGACCTCTATTCATTTCATATTTATCTTCCTTTTGCTCTGTATCAAACTCTTCGTGGACCATATAGTCTGGAGCATTTCTCTGAGGGGTTTCTTTCTGTTCCTTTGGTTTGGATGCAGCCAGGTCAATGTACCAATCTGGTGGCATGTAAGTTGATGTCGAAACTTCGTTAGGATCATTTTCAGCCTGAGTCAATAGATTTTTATGACCACCTTGCTTGGCCAATTTGACATAATCAGAATCAAAATCCTTAATGAACTGTTTGGGCCTTTGCTCCGCGGTTTTATCATCAGACTCTGCACTTAAGCCTGGAATTTGGGAGGAAGGGCGAGCAGTGACTCTCTTTCCAGGTTTAACTGTATATTCATATGGAGCATCGGTAAACCATCCACAGGTAACATTTCCATTTGGACCATCTGGATTTTGTTTAACCAACTGAGCCATATTCAATTTTCTTCTTAACCGTGTCTTCAAACAAGGGTTGGCCAAGTGCACTTTCAATAATTTTTTGATGTTCCTACAGAAACAAAATACATAAATATCTCATTTGTTTCTGTGTGATTGCATTGTTCAAGTTTCTTAACATAAAGCTAATGAATATTTTTCTCTATTTAATTTAATGCTTGGAATTTTTTCTCCTTTTGACAGCTTTATACTTTCCTTCACTCTAGAACCCTGGTAGCTCTGTCTTGAAACCTTTTCTGTATACTTAAAATGGATTTGGGTAGCTAAGAGGCTATTTCTAGACTGTGCTTTCTTCACTACAGTGAACTGTTATAAACAGAAAACCATGAAGCTTTAACAGTGGAAAACAAAATGATAAACTCACTATATTCCAGTTTTCCTATGGTGGCCTAAATGAACTATTGTTTTAATTTAACTTAAATTATTTTATAAAATGTACCATACATACTCCTTAGTTTCTGTGTGGTGTGTAAAAAGACATCTGGGTTTAGTGTATGTGATCAAAAATGGTATGCTTGTAGCGTTTTAAAGGGACATGCATCTCTTGAAAAATATCTTTTAAAACCAGCAAGCAAACACTTTTAAACAAATATACAAATCAAAGTAAAGAAAGAAAAACTTTGAAAAGTATTTAACATTTATAAACCGAATACAAACTTGGTTATATTGCATTGTTGGGCACTCCTCTCAGCTAGGGGAGTTTCTTCAGCTCCACTAACCCAAATCAACCTCTCAGTTTCAGACCAGTTCTCTAAACACAGAAACAGGGCATAATTGCACAGCAGCAGGAGAGAGAAGCCCGCTCTATGTGATCACAGTGATAAGACTCCCTCTCTCTTCTCCCCCTGTCAGGAAGTTGCAAGATGAAAAAAAAATCTTTCAACTACACATGTACAAATCTATCAATGCATTTTTCCAGCAAATACTATACACTACAAAATTATTCTAAACTATCTCATAATATTCATAATTCACCATAAAATACTAGATAGATATCTTAGCACATTATTTATACATTTGGCTCATGCGTCCACACATCGTCTCTTTCTTTTGAACCTTGATCTTACACTTCCAATGTAACCTAATGTTTGTTTTTCATATGCAAATACAGTGCATTCAGAAAGTATTCAGACCCCTTCATGTTTTCAGATTACTGAAAAATTAGCAAATATATAAAAAAGAATAAACTGAAATATCAGATTGACTTAAGTATTCAGACAGTTTCCTGTAACACTGGCAATTTCAGATAATCTTTGAAATGTCTCTGCAATTTGATTGTAGTCCTCCTATGCCAATTTCAATTGATTCGACATGAATTGGAAAGGCGCACACACCTGTACACATAAGCTGTAAATGCATTACAGAGCAAAAACCAATTCTTAAAGTCAAATGAACTGCCTGTACAGCTCAGAGACAGGATTGTGTTGAGGCACAGATCTGGGGAAAGTCACAACACTTTTCTGTCTTCATTTACGGTTCGAGCAATGCGCAGAACTACCACCAGTGATGACGGTGTGACTGTGTCAGGGTGCCTGCAGATGCACATTGCTCTCAAGAGCTGCATGGGGCCCTTCCTGGTCGGGCAGACACCAACTATAGTTGCGGTGCCAAAATTGAGGGAGGGCTGCATGGATGCTAACCAGGGCACAGCTGGAGACATTGAGCATGGCAGTAGGAGAGTTGGACTCAGAATGAGGGTGAGTCAAGTGTATATGTGTATATTGTGTGCATATGTGTCAGTGTGTGTGTCACTGTATCTGCTCATGTGTGCCTATGTATATATTTTAGAGTGTATAGGTGTACTTCTCTGTGTGGCAGTATATATCTGAGTGTATCTTTGTGTGGTAATGTGCATATGTTTATGGCAATGTATGTGCATATGTGAACATTTTAACCACCCCTTCTCTACAGGGGGGCTGACTTTTTTTTCTTCTCCATGGTCATTCTTACATTAGTTCTGCCACTGCCAAGGGAACAATGGCCTCAATACTTCATACACGGAAGTCGTTTGGAACAATCAGTACTATTCCTAGAGCTGGCCACCCAGCTAATCAAGCAATCGGGGAGAAGGGTCTTGGTAAGAGAGATGACCAAGAACCTGATGGTCACTCAAGGGGAGCTTCAGAGATCATGTGTGGAGATAGTGGAAACTTGCAAAATGACAACCATGACTGCAATATTCCACTTATCTGGGATTTTTCTCAGACTGGCCAGACAGAAGGCTCCCCTCAATGCAAGGCACATGAAAGCCTGCTTTGAATTTGCAAAAATGCACTTAAGGGACTTTCAGACCATGAGATACAAGATTCTGTGGTCTAATTAAGTGAAAATTGAATTGTTTTGCCTCGATTCACAGCACCATGTTCTTTTAAAGCAGTGATGGCTAACCTTGACACGATAAATTGTGTCTGGACTACATTTTTCATGATGCTCAGCTAGCTTTTAGAGTCTAAAAGCTAGCTGAGCATCAAGGGAAATGTAGTAGTAGTGGTGTTGTGGAGACAGGCTTGGAGACTATAGTGAGGCCTAATAGAAAGCAGTTGTTGTTGGGGGATTCCATCATAAGAGGTGTGGAGATGGACAATGGTGGTCTTGTGAGATGTCTTCCCGGAGCTACTGCTCACAGAGACAGGAGAAGTATTTGTAATATTGTTAAGCGAGCAAAGCAGGAAGGGTAATTGGATGTACTTGTCCATCTAGGGACAAATGACTTGGCTTGCAATGAGGTTTCAGAGGTTAAGGAAGTTTTTAGTGGTTTTGCCAATGAAGTACTGTGCATAACACTCAGAACGACAAGCGGATGCGTATTAGGGACTTTAACTTGTGGCTTGGTGAATGGTGTCAGGAGCAAGGATTTGGCTTTATTTCTCATGGTGGCTCTGTTTGGAATGGAAATAAACTGTACAAAAAAGATGATTTGCATCTTTCTCAAATGGGAACAAATGTTCTCAGTGAGCAGTTCAGAGGTTTTGCTAGGATTCATTTAAACTAGGAAGGGGGGGCAATAATGCCAACTGATAATGTAGATTTAGTCGCGGTTACTGAGACATGGTAATGACTGGGACATAGCAATACCAGGGTACTCTTTATATAGAAAAGACAGGGAAGGCAAGAAAGGGGGAGGGATGGCCCTGTATGTGAAGGAAAGCATAAATTCTAGCCTAATAAAAGTTAGTGAGGCGAACATAGAGTCCGTTTAGGTTACTTTAGAATTTGGTAATCACACAGTAACTTGTGTAGGTGTGATTCATAGGCCCCCAGGACAAATAGAAGAGAGTTAGATAATCTTCTAGTTGAGGAAATAGCTAAAATGACAATGAAGGGGGAAGTTATCATCATGGGTGACTTTAATCTTCCTGATGTGAATTGGAAAACAAAATTAGCTGCTTGTGCCAGGAGCACACATATTCTAAACTCCCTACTGGGATTGTCTCTAAAACAAGTCGTTGAGGAGCCAACTCGTAAAGAGGCCATACTAGATTTAGTGTTAACAAATGGAGATTTGGTATCAGATATAACTGTAGGTGAAAGTTTAGGATCCAGTGATCATCAGTCAGTGTGGTTTAATATAAGAACAGTGACTGAGTCACACCACACAAAAACAAAAGTTTTAGACTTTAGAAAAACAGACTTTTCTAAAATTAGAATATGGGTAGAGGAGTCATTATCAGACTGGAGAAATTTAAATGGAGTCCAAGAGAAATGGGATTATTTAAAAGTTGCACTATTGAAGGCAACAGAAAATTGCATTAGGCTTGTCAGTAAAAGCAAAAAATTCAAGAAACCAGTGTGGTACTCCGCAGATGTGGCCAAAATAGTTAAAAACAAAAAGTTAGCATTTAGGAATTATAAAAAAACCCAGAGTGAGGGAGACAAAATAATCTATAAGATTAGGCAGAAAGAGGCTAAGCAAGTTATAAGAGCTTCCAAATCACACACAGAAGAGAAAATAGCACAGTCAGTAAAAAAGGGGGATAAAACATTTTATAGATACATAAATGAGAAAAGAAAAGTAAAACAAGGATTAGTTAGATTAAAAACAAAAGAAGGAAGGTATGTAGATGAGGATAAAGGTCTAGCTGACTGCCTCAATGAATATTTTTGTTCAGTATTTACAGAGGAAAATGAAGGAAAGGGACCTCAGTTAGGAAAAAGGACAAATAAGTAATTTATTACATGTGAGTTTACAGAGGAGGAGGTTCTATTTCAACTGTCAAAAGTAAAGACAAATAAGTCAATGGGACCTGATGGAATACACCCAAAGTTATTAAAAGAGCTTATTGGTGTACTAGCAAAACCATTAACAGATTTATTTAACCAATCATTGTTAACAAGAGTAGTCCCAGAAGATTTGAAGTTAGAGAATGTTGTGTCCATTCACAAGAAAGGTAGTAGGGTGGAATCGGGCAACTATAGGCCAGTAAGCCTTACATCAGTAGTGGAGAAAGTAATGGAAACCATGTTAAAGGATAAGTTTGTTAAACATCTAAAAATACATGGATTTCAAGATCAGAGACAACATGGGTTTACTTCAGGGAGATCATGCCAAACTAATCTTATTGATTTTTTTTTTTATTGGGTAACTAAAATAATAGATCAGGGTGGTGCAGTAGACATTGCTTACCTAGATTTCAGTAAGGCTTTTGACACTGTTGCACATAGAAGGCTGATCAATAAATTGCAATCTTTAAGTTTGGATTCCAATATTGTTGGATGGGTTAGGCAGTGGCTGAGTGACAGGCAATAGAGGGTTGTAGTCAATGGAGGATATTCGAAGCTTGGGCTTGTCACCAGTGGGGTACCTCAGGGATCTGTACTTGGACCCATTATCTTTAATATTTTTATTAGTGATATTGCAGAAGGTCTTGATGGTAAGGTATGTCTTTTTGCTGATGATACTAAGATATGTAACAGGGTTGATGTCCCAGGAGGGATAAGCCAAATGGCAAATGATTTAGGTAAACTAGAAAAATGGTCAGAGTTGTGGCAACTGTCATTTAATGTTGATAAGTGCAAGATAATGCATCTTGGATGTAAAAACCCAAGGGCAGAGTACAGAATATTTGATAGAGTCCTAACCTCAACATCTGAGGAAAAGGATTTAGGGGTGATTATTTCTGATGACTTAAAGGTAGGCAGACAATGTAATAGAGCAGCAGGAAATGCTAGCAGAATGCTTGGTTGTATAGGAGAGGTATTAGCAGTAGAAAGAGGGAAGTGCTCATGCCATTGTACAGACCTCACTTGGAGTATTGTACACAGTACTGGAGACCGTATCTTCAGAAGGATATTGATACCTTAGAGAGGGTTCAGAGAAGGGCTACTAAACTGTTCATGGATTGCGGGGTAAAACTTACCAGGAAAGGTTAAAGGATCTTAACATGTATAGCTTGGAGGAAAGACAAGACAGGGGCGATATGATAGAAACATTTAAATATATAAAGGGAATCAACATAGTAAAGGAGGAGACTATATTTAAAAGAAGAAAAACTACCACAACAAGAGGACAGTCTTAATTAGAGGGGCAAAGGTTTAAAAATAATATCAGGAAGCATTACTTTACTGAGAGGGTAGTGGATGCATGGAATAGACTTCGAGCTGAAGTGGTAGAGGTTAATACAGTGAAGGAGTTTAAGCATGCGTGGGATAGACGTAAGGCTATCTTAGATATAAGACTAATGAAAGCATTTTAGAAAATTGGGCAGACTAGATGGGCCGAATGGTTCTTATCTGCCGTCACATTCTATGTTTCTAGTCCAGAAACAATTTATTGTGTCAAGGTTAGCCATCACCGTTTTAGAGCTAACCACGGTGATGGTTAGCCATCACCGTTTTTGAAGAAAAGCTGAACGTAGCAGAATACATATAGATAGAGATATCCTTACTGAAAACTTAATCCAGAGTGTTCAGGTACTGAGACTGGGCCATAGGTTACCCATCCAAGAGGAAAGACACCCCAAGTACACAGTCAAGACAATGCAAGAGTGGCTTATGGACAACTCTGTGAATGTTCCTGTGTGACGCAGCCGGAGGATGGAATTTAACCCAATCGGGTATCTCTGGAGAGAATTGCTATGGGCTTTGTACAGTAACAGAGGTTGAGAGGATCTCCAGAGTCGACTGTCAGGGACTACCCAAATCCAGGTATGAAAAACATGTTGCATCAAATCTCAAAATACTTGTGGATGTAAACCCTACCAAGGGTGCTTCAACTAAGTACTTGTCAAGGTAAGTATGCATACCCTAAATAAAGTGCTTAAACCAATGTTAATCAAGAGATGAACAAAGAATAATCACGTTTTACAGGACCTTAGAGGCGAATTATTAGAAAACAAACAGAGGTCAGGAATTCAAGAAAACAGTATCATTAAGCCAAAGAGTACAGAGACCATAGTAGTCAGACAAGTCAAGTATAGATGACCAGGAAATCACAGATAATCAGGAACGAGTTAATGGGATCACAAGGAAACCACAACAGGGCACTGAACAGATGGAAAGCTCAGGTATCCCTTGGTAGTCACACCCTCCAAAACATGATTGGGGGTCAACAATGACAGGATGATGTCATGAAGTGAACATGGCTTAATAAAATTTAAAAAAAAAAAAAGGGGAGGGGGAGGGGGACTACAATGCAAAGATAACAGAGGGTGTGTAACTGATGTGGTGCTTATTTGGGGAGACTGGGGAATCAGGTGGTGTAGCGCAGAGGTATGTGTATATATACACATATTATTCTGTTTAAAATATTTGCAGTGGTTTCAAAAAACTTGTTTTTGCTTTGCCATTATGGAGTATTGAGTGCAGACAGATGTGGGAAAAAAAACAAATAAAACATTTGTAGCATAAAACTGAAAAAAAAGTGAAGAAAACAAAGGGGTCTGAATACTTTACTGTATTATTAGAATTACAGTATAAAGTAATATTTTACGGTGTACACTCAGACATCATACACATTCATTATCTGACATTTCACTCACTCTTACACACTTTCTTTCATTTTTTTTTTTAAATGTGATTATACACATTGTATAATATTGTCCTTTTACATAAACTGGCTCATTTTCACTTTTATTTTACAATTACTATGAAAATTGCACTGACAACTAACACACACGGGGTAATTTAATGCCAAACAAAGCATTGGTGAATTTTTCCAGTCTGGCTAATTTGATCATAAATTTGAAATTCATTTTCAATTCTCCTTTTAGTGGATAACCTAGATAGATTTGGGTTACTCTAACTCTCCCCCCCCCCCACCTACTTTCCTTTTTTCTTTTAAACTGATAAGGCTTTACCAGGTATGTCTAGACCCCCATTTTTAGTCTAAGCTTGTTAATATAAGCTGTAAATTTACCTCGAATCCAAGAGATTTAAGCAGACTAGATGGAACGAATGGTTCTGATCTGTCGTCACATTCTAGGTTTCTATGGCAGGGATGAAGCTCCCTGTGCTGGTTTCCACGACTCCTCATAGAGAAGCATTTGATTGGACGGTTTCCCTGACTCACAAGGGAGGGTGGATTAAAAAACAAAAATGGAGCCTTACTAAAGAAAGCAGGAAGGGCTCTAATACAGTGAAAGAAGAGAGGGATGGGAGAGCTAGGCTTCCTTTGCAGGAGCGCTCCCATCAATGAAGAACTTGACCACGTCTGTTTCTGACAGATGTTATTTTTGCACAAACTGTTTATTGGCCGGAACTCATTTCTGGCGTTCCTAACCACATGTGCCAATGGTGCAACTAGTCCCCGGGAACACGAGTCCAAATATATCTATATGTGCAGTGTTTCAAGCAGAAATGCTGCATGTACAGACTCCTGCATCCATGACCACTGCTGAAAGCAGAAGTGGTGAAGGTGGTTGGAGTAACCCTTTAATACTGTGATTGAGATGCCAGTTCATGATGCACTACCTATAACAAAGAAGTTAGGCTAGAGATAGATCAAGGTTTGGAATGCAATGTGTCTTTTTAATAGTTATAGGGTCATTTTTAAATGGCAATGTCTATCCTGTTTTCACTTTGCCAGATTTGGTTATCAAAAAAAACATTATTTACTCCGCTTGCTTGATTAGAAACCAGGATTTTTAACTGCTGCTTTAGTCCATCCGCTTTCAGGTTGACATGATGTGCTTATAGGCATGGCCTTCTGCACACCATGTAGTAAATGGTAGCTACTGGACTACCTGCGAACAGTTATCGTGTAGGAGTTTAGTAATTCTCCTTTTGTTTTTCTCATTGACCACTTTAATACTACATTTGAGTATAAAGGGTTTTCATTCCATGCATTTTGTAGATCTTAAATATAGTCAATGAAGCATCACTCATCCTCATTCATACTTTAGGAATCATTGCCAGACTGCAGACAAACATGGCTCTTTCAGAAGCCACTGGTCACTGATTTAATGTTTTCAAGATTGCTAAAAAAAAAACATTAGATCACTCCCTTCCAAACAGTAAAAGAAGTTTCAAAGAGTCATTATTCCTACAGTTGGGGGAAGGAGAGGAGTGAATGTACTCTACCATTTGACTTTTAGCATTAAATTTGCATTTAACACATTGATTAATATTGCTATAGCAGTTTTTTTTTTTAAAAAACCCTTATTTTAGAAATATATGATTTAACTGTTTTTGCTATATTTGACCATCTTGATCAAATGCAGACATCCGTTTTACATTCTGTTAGTAAGCAGTACTACTAGTAATATCAGAGTCCATACAAATAACTATAAAGCAAGGAATTTGACTATTTTTTATTAATTTTTGTAACATCTACTATACGGGAGAAATTAGCATTTTGCTTTTACACTAAAATATTAGAGCATGTGGGATATATTGCAAATAAAGGACACCGTGTATTAACTAAAGCTCTTAATGTCTAATATATCTATATTTATATATAAGCTGAAATTAATTAATACTTTTGAATGCATACAATTACCAGGGTGCGAATGCGCATGTAATCATTTAGGATGATATATTCATATTGCCATGGCATACATTTATATAATCTTAATATTCTTTGTCAATGACCTTAGTGAAACTTGGTCGATGTAAAAGAATATACTCACTGCATGTAATAGCTCAAACAATGTTTGTTTGGTCCGATTTAACAAAAATCAAAATAAACAAAGAAAGTATTATATGCCCAAAAAAGGAATTGAACCCTAGTTGCCAGGATGTAACACAAAGCAAGAAATAATGCGGAGTTTCAATACCAGTGCCGTGTGTGTATCTGATGGTAATGTATCATCAAATACTAGCTGTGTGTGCTTGGTGATGTGTCCTCCAGTTCCAGCATTGTGTGTTCCCGCTGAATGTTCCCAGACCTTCCCAGGTGCATTTTATCCCATTATTGCCATGACCTGTATGTTTAAATATATATCTACATTTCTTAATTTGATTGTTTGGTGCCAACAATTATAGTAGTTTCCTATTTTAGGATAATTAATTGAATTAAACTGCCAGAGATGTGTCGCTCATATTACTTGACAATATGCTGATCGTATACCTAGCACTCAAAGCGGCTCTGTCAACCAGAAATAAAGTTAAAATAACTGAACGTTATAGGAGATGCTCATACAAACTATGTTGGAACTTCATCGAAATGCCAAATGCAGTCAAAAGATATCATAGGACTACTTTGTCTTAAGGTAAATCCTAAGAGGGTCACTCCACTGCCCAAAAAATAAAACTAATTATTTATACATCTATCACTGTTTAATAGACCACCCATAATAGTAGACCCAAGGTTGCCAAAGTGCTGCTAAATGATTTGACTACTTACTGAGGGAGCACGCCAAGCACGACTGGCACCAGAATCACTACAGCAGAAGTAGTGGTTATGGTGCTTAGTGCAATCCTTTCAAGAAATTCCTTTTTATTTTGATATTTCATATTTCATATAAGTCCAACAGATCAAAATGTATTTTCCCGTAGAGAAGGAGTTGAGTCGTGGGTAGAGGGTGGGTAATTTTACAGGATTATTCACTATACTCTGACAAAAAAACAACCAAAAAAAATCCCCAACTTGCTTGGCTATTTGAGTCTGGGTTTTGCATTTCTAATCTATTATGCTCTATTTCGGATTTTAGTAAATAACTCTATGCAGGACACCAAATAACCAAGGGCAAACACCTTCAAATTCAGTTGTTTTTTTCTTGACAAACTTGAAAAATTCCTTACAAACCTGACAGACCAACCTTTTTCCCCCCTGATATTTAACCTTCTCACTGCCAATGAACTTGACTCTTTCCTACTGAGGCATACCCTTTCCCTGACAAATAAATAGCATGTTTTACCCTTTCTCTGTTAGAGAGACAAAACCCTGATATCTTACCCCACTTCACCTCGTGAGGCACAAACAATATAGATGTATTAAAATGTGTGTATACTGTGTTTCCCCTGAAAATAAAAATGGGTCTTATATTAATTTCCCCTCCGAATAACGCACTAGGGCTTATTTTTGGGGGGTCTAATTCCCTCGAACATAGACCAGTACAATAGTGCATTTACTTGCGAATGGAATCCTGCGAATCTATGACTAGGGTTTTTATTACGAGCATCTCCCGATAATAAGCTAGGGCTTATTTTCAGGGGATTTCTTATTTTTGGGGAAACATGGTAGGTACGTACGTACGTACGTACGTACATACATACATACATGTTCACACACGTATAATAGAGTTACCAGACGTCCTGGTTTGACTGGCATCCCTTCCAGTTGGTAATTCTGTCCCGGTGCCAAATTAATTATGTGTATTAATTTACTAGTAATAGCAGCAGAACTAACATGTTGTTCGTGCAGTATGCGGATCATTAAGTGTGTGTATATCTATAAGTGTGTGTGTGTATATATATATAAATAAAACACAACCCCTTGTTATATATATATATATATATATATATATATATATATATATATATACACACACACACATATATATATCTATCTGTGTCTGTGTGTATGTATATCTGTGTCATTGTGTGTATGTGTGTGTGTGTGTATGTATAGAGGTTTCTGCTCTGCTCCTGTCCTCCCGCCCCACAACCTGCTCCCTCGATCCTATTCCCTCGCATCTCATTCGCACTTTGTCTCCCTCTCTTGCTCTTCCTCTCGCTAACATTTTCAATCTCTCCCTTTCCTCTGGCACATTTCCCTCTGCCTTCCAACATGCAACCGTAACTCCAATTCTGAAAAAGCCCAACCTTGATCCCAACTCCCCATCCAACTACCGCCCTATCTCGCTACTGCCATTTGCCTCCAAGATCCTCGAGAGAGTTGTCTACGCCAGATTGACAGACTTTCTTGAATCCAACTCTCTGCTTGACCCCCTTCAGTCTGGATTCTGCGCTGGTCACTCTGTCGAAACTGCTGTGACCAAAGTATCCAACGATTTAATTGCTGCTAAATCTCGCGGCCAATACTCTATCCTAATCCTCCTTGATCTTTCTGCCGCCTTTGACACTGTTGATCATCAACAGCTTCTTCACATTCTCCGTAACTTTGGTCTACGGGATTCTGCTCTCTCCTGGTGCTCCTCCTACCTCTCCCAGCGCTCCTTCAGTGTTTCTTTCTCTGGCTCTGCCTCTTCTCCCCAACCCCTCCCTGTCGGCGTCCCCCAGGGTTCTGTCCTCGGCCCCCTACTGTTCTCTATCTATACTGCCTCCCTTGGTAAACTCATCAGCTCTTTTGGCGTCCAATACCATTTATATGCAGATGACACGCAAATCTACCTGTCGTCCCCTGATCTCTCTCTGCCCACCTTGACTCGTGTTTCTGACTGCCTCTCTGCCATTTCCAACTGGATGGCTGCTCACTTCCTTAAACTCAACCTGTCCAAAAAAGAACTTCTAGTTTTTCCTCCCTCAAGTGCTGCTACTCCTGTGTCTGTCGCCATCCAAGTCAACGGCGCTACTATCACCTCTACCTCCCAGGCTCGCTGCCTAGGAGTTCTTTTTGATTCTGATCTCTCTTTTACTCCCCATGTTCAATCGATAGCC